TACAAAAGCCCTACATTTAAGGTTTGGAATATCCTACTATTCTAGGGATCCCAGTGGTTCTTGCAGAGAAAAAAAGGATTCAAGTATAGAGATCAGCCAAGCTAAGTTTGGACATGTACCTTTTCAGAGAGTAAAGAGAATTCTGTTTTCTCTGTTGCAAGGTGGCCTCTCAGGGCCACAAGACTGAGAAACGGTAGCCAAGCCACAGGGATGGACACAGGCTGCCCTCCTTGGCACCAGGCTGTGCAGGTTGAATGTGTTAACCCAGCCTTTCAGAGCAGTGTTTTCAGCCTGCCTTGAAGACTCAGTATTCTTGCTGCCAGGGGCAGGGTAAAACATTCTTTTCTTTTCAGGAAAATCAGTAATTCATGTTTTGAGTTTAGAAAACTGTTGAAGTAGTGGACAGCAGATCACTTTTTTGCTTTTAAAAACCCCCAACATATTAGCCGGATGTGGTGGCACACACTTGTAAACCCTAGCACTCACAAGGGTGAGGCAGGAGGACTGCTAAGAGTTTAAGGTCAGCCCAGGCTACATGAGTTCAAGACCAGTCTAAACTGCAAAGTGAGACCCTGTCTCAAAACAACAACAAAACCTACATATTGTTGGTAGTATCCATGAGACCTTTTCCTTCCTCCATTTTCCCTCCTGTTTGTATGTGAATGTGTGTGTGTGTGACAGGGTACTGGGGTTTGAATCCAGGGTCTTGGGGCATGTCAGGCAAAGTGATTTACCACCAATTTAAATTTTCAAATTTTTTTTGTTGTTTTATTTTATTATATTTTATTTTGGTACTAGGGATTGAACTCAGGACCTTGCGCTTGTGAGGCAGGTGGCAGAACCACTGAGCTTAATTCCCATGCCCTAAATTTTTAAATTTTTAAAAAAATTTGAGACAGAATGTCATTAAGCTTTTCAGGCTGACCTTGAACTGTGTTCCTTCTGCCTCGGCCTCCTGAATAGCTGGGATTATAGGTGTGTGCCATTGTGCCCAGCTTGGAATTTTTTTTTTTTTTTTGGTACCAGGGATGGAACTCAGAACCTTGTGCTTGCAAGGTAGGCGTGATGCCACTGAGCTAATGCTCCCCCCCCACTTTTGGAGATAGGGTCTTGCTTTGTAGTTCAGGCTGGCTCTGAACTCACTATGTAGCCCAGGCTGGCCTTGAACTCATGGCGATCCTCCTGCCTCAACCTCCTGAGTGCTGGGATTATAGATGTGCACCACCACACCCTGCTCAGCTTGGATTTTTAAAAAAAATTTAAGAAGTATTCATTGAGAAACTAGTATTTTCCAGGTCTTGGAGCTACAATAGTGGAAAAAACAGCTGTGGCCTTGCCCCTGGGTACAGAGTTGAGCTTCTCGTGGGCTAGAAAACAGAATTAGTGGCTGGCATGTAGGAATAAGAGAGTATATCTTTGTGTGTGGGGGTGTTCTTAAGGAGAGAGGGAACAGGTAAAGTCCTGCACAGAAAAAAGAAAATGCCAAAGTGAGTACCAGAGAAGCCAGCTCTCACTTCACTTATTTGTATTTTTCAAGAGAAGCAAAAAGCTTTGTTGCTTAAGCAAGACTACATTCTCACAGAGTGAGCAATAATTTATCAAATAAAACATAGCTGATGATCAGATTAATTGCACAATCACTCTTATGCAGCATGATAATTAGGTGCAAATGGCAGGAAGCTTACCTAAGTCAATCACCCTTGCTCCGTCTTTGCAGTACTTAACCTGTTAATAGCCTGGTTCCTGCAGCTTTTAAGTGCCTGTCTTTAGCATGGCTGTACTGTCTAGAGGCGCTGGGACTTTTTACTGTACCCCTTCTTTCGGGCAGCCCAGCATCCTCTTCTCTCTGCTGCCTGAGTACTGAGTGGCAGTCGTCATATTTTGGCTCTCAGGGTCCCTAGGGGTATGGAACACGACATTTTGTTTTGTTTTAACTGAAGTCTGAACCCAGGGAGTGCTGAGCTACATTCCCAGCCCTACTTAAAAGTTTTATTTTGAGACAGGGTCTGGCTAAGTTGCCCAGGCTTGAATTTGTGGCCCTCCTGCCTCAGCTTCCAGAGTACCTGGAACTAAAGATGTGTACCACCATGCCCTAGCACAGCTATTATTTCATAAAGTCTGAAAATCAAGGGTCAGTTGTGGGCAGATGCTTAAGAAGGCTTTTGTGGAGCTTACTCTGCAGCTGGCAAAACCTTGGCTTAGGGCTGGGGATTTAGCTCAGTGGTTCTGCCGCGTGCCTTGCAAGCGCAAGGACCCGAGTTCGATCCCCGGTACCAAAAAAAAAAAAAACAACAAAAAAACCACCTTGGCTTAGCTCCTTGGTAAGAGGGCACACAGTTGGGACAGCATCATGTAATCCTTGTAATCCTGTTTCTGCTTTTTTCATATTATTCCCTCAATCTGCCTCTCCCTCTCCCTCTGCTTTCCTTTCTGTCCAACTCTGAATCCTTTTGTTGTGAAGTTTCTTCTCCAGGAAGCTTCTCTGTGTACCATTCTCTAGGTGATGACCACCAGCCTTTGCATCCTAGTGGACTAGTCTGTGCACTACATAGTTCATTAGCATTGTACAGAAGAGAAGAAACTGTATCTGCTTTAGAGTCAAGAAATTTTTCCATTTTTTATTCTGGTATTTATTTATTCTAATTTTTTGGTGCTGGGGATTGAGCCCAGGACCTTGCATGAGCTAGGCATGTAATCTACCACTTATCTAAATCCGCAATCCCTGCTATTTATTTTTTCAGCGTTCTTCTTCCCTAAACTTCAATCAAAATGCAAATACAGGGACTGAGGGTGTAGCTCAGTGGTACAGTACTTCCCTGGTGTACATGAGGCCCTAAATTCAATCCCCAGAACCACATACATACATAAATAATTAAACTAAAACGAGTATAGTCAGTAACATTTATTGAATGCTTACCACATAACAAGCATTATGCTCTGCTCTTTTCGTTTAACTTCCTGTAATCAATCCCACTGTATAGATGGTGAATCTGAAGATGAGAGAAGGCTCTGAAAGACTCTGCTGAGCAAATCCCATACTATAATGTCCCCAAAGAGAAAATATAAGTAGGTACTTAGAGAAATCTCAGAGAGGACATATACCAGTACATTAACCTGTGGGTGAGATAGATTATTTTTTTCTCCTTTATTCCCTTCAAGGGCTATTTCTTACACTTGTTTTTCCCCTTTGACACTTGTTAGAGGGGAAGAACATGTAGAAAATGTTCAGTACGTAAGTGCTGATTGGGGGCCAAGGATTTAGCTCAGTGGTTCTGCCTCCTCCTCGAAAGCGCAAGGTCCTGAGTTTGATCCCTGGTACCAAAAAAAAAAAAAAAAGTACTGATTGAGGTAGAAAATGAAGGCTTCCCTTTTCCTTGGCCCAGTTTGGCTTGACATGGCCCCAATATTGGTAGTTGTGTCTTTGTGACTGACTTTATTATTTGTTGGTGCTACTGTGCTTCTGTTCATCTGGAAAGTTCCCCAAGTGTGTTGCCCCTTACACTGGCAGAGTGGAAGCCTCCAGGGATGAAAGATGAGCTTGTCGTGTTGTGGGACTATATTTCCCTGGCTGACGAAGGTTCAGCCCTTGTAGCTGGTGATGGGAATTGGTTGGCCAACTTATTATTTCTTTCAGCCCGGTAGAATTCTGAGTAGGCTAGCAACAATCTGCTTGCTAGGTGACTCACACATAGCTGACGCAGACTTGTTGGGTATCTTACAAGCTGCTGTGTTTTGTTGCACAGTGCTGGGTATAGCCTTATCTAACTAAATTCCATCCAGTATTCTGCTCCCACTGCTTTCTGTATAAGGTACAGCCACCAGCAGGTAGGTTGTGCTGGCCTCAGGTATACTTGTGGTGATGTAGAAGCCTGGCATTGCTTACCAAGCAGAGAGCTGTTGTTATCTATGATGTTTTCTCTTCTCTCAGTCCCACCGTCATAGGGATTGAACCCAGGGTCTTCATACTGAACTACATCTTCAGCTCCTTTTTAGTTTTTGAGTCTTGCTAAGTTGCTGAATTGCTCAGGCTGCACTTGAACTTGCAATTCTCTTGCTTCAGTCCCTCAGAGTACTGGGATTTCAGGCATGTGCCACAGTGCACAAGAAAACTTGATGTTTTCTTTTTTATGTTTTTCGCAGCTTTTCACTTATTTATTTATTTATTTATTTATATTTTTGGTTTTTGATATAGGGTCTCACTATGTAGTTCAGGCTGGCCCTGAACCCACTATATAGCCTAGGCTGGCCTTGAACTTGCTGCAGTCTTCCTGCCTCAGCATCTAGAGTGCTGGGATTATAGGTGGGCACCAGCACAACCAGCTTTTTATTTTGATATAGTTTCAGATGTGCAGAAGAGTTGTTAAGAATAGCACAAAGCGGGCCGGGGATTTAGCTCAGTGGTTTCGCTACCTGCCTTGCAAGTGCAAGGACCCGAGTTCAATCCCTGGTACCAAAAAAAAAAAAAAAAAAAAAAGAATAGCACAAGAACTCTCGTATACCTTTTTTTGGGGGGAGCAATACCAGGGAACTATGGGACTATGCGCTTGTGAGGCAGGCGCCAGAACTACTGAGCTCAATCCTTGGACCTCTTGTATACCTTTAACCAAGATTCATTGTCAGCATTTTGCTTTATTTGATTTCTTTCTTGTGAATCCTCCCCACTCTACTCCCTCCCCTTGCACAAAGATGTATGTTGACACTCCCTTTTGAATTGTCTCACAGTAAATTGCACATTATGCCTTGCCCCTTTACTTGTGGATGCCTCAATGTGTATTTCTTAAGTTCAACAACAAATAATGCTGTTAACCTTATCCACTGTCCATATTCAGACTGTCCACTTCACATTATGGTCCCAATAATGGCAGTTTTATTGTAAAGAAGACCACCCTGGGATGCAGAGGTGTTTCCTTGGGTATGTTCCTCAGAGGAGAGCAGAATGGGCAGGCATTTGAGGAGGTGACTGCTAGGATGTTAATCACCATTTCCTTCTATCTCTACAGAACTGAGTAAGGGTAGCAAGAACCACTTTGCAGCAATGTCAGCAGAAGTAGAGACTTCTGAAGGGGTAGATGATTCGGAGAGAAAGAACCCTGTGGCCCAAGAAAAGGAAAACCATATCAGGTGAGTGAGTGATAAGGGCTGGCTACATCAAATCAGGGGGCCCAGCAACTGCTATGCACAACACAACTGGTTTTGTTTGCTGTTAGCACCGGGAGGTGGTCATGGTTCCTGGAGCTGTGGATCCTAGGATGCCTGGTTGAGACTGCAGGGCCCATGTTTAGCCCCTGGACTGCTCAGCGCACTCTCATTTGCTCTGTTATCCAAGGAAGCAGAGTACGTGCTGCTCGGAGTTCTGAGTGATAGATTTTAACGATAGTCCTCTCAACCGTTTTTTCTTAAAAACCTGTGTTTTTTCATTGAGAAATGGTAATCACACACCTTTCTCAGTGGCTCCTTTCACAGTGTCTTCCTCCCCTTAAAATGGGAACTTGAACTCTACTTCAGGGCAGGCTTTATATCTTATTGTCAAGACCACTTCTCTGTAAGCCTTACATTACTGGGCCCTACTCTGCATTATTCTTAGTCTCCCATTAGAGCCCCATCATTAGAACCAAAGCCTTGGTTCCTTTTTTTTGCGGGGTGGGGGGACGACCAAGTTCAAACTCAGGTGCTTGCAGGTGGCGGAACCACTGAGCTAAATCTTCGGCCCTTTTGTTCCTTTTTATTTTATTTTATTTTTTTGGCACTGGGGATTGAACTCGGGTCCTTGCGCTTATGGGGCAGATGGTAGAACAACTGAGCTAAATCTCCAGCCCTGTTTCCTTTTAATAGCTTATACTTTCCTGGACTTTTTTTTTGGTACTAGGGATCGAACTCAGGTTCCTGCGCTTGTGCAACAGATGGCGAAACCACTGAGCTAAATCCCCGGCCCTCCTTTTTATAGCTTGAAATAGTTTCTAATAACAAACTGGTTCTCAGCATTGGTGAAACAAGCTAATCTCATAAGGAACCCAGCAGAGACTGGGCCATGAGAGGGCCAAATTTTTTTCGCTCTAATTAATACACTGTGGATACATGTGAGTCCAGCCCAGGTACCGTCATCTTTAGGATCACACATTTTTTGCTTTGTCCATCTGTTAGTACAACTTGTTCCTGTGTGATTTTGTTTTTTGGGGGGTTTTTTTTGGTACCGGGGATCGAACTCAGGTCCTTGCGCTTGCACAGCAGGCAGCGAAACCACTGAGCCAAATCCCCTACCCTCCTGTGTGATTTTGTTAAGTAATAGAAACCCAAAGTTCTGACGCCAACCTCTTACTGTCCTTCTCATCCTTCTACTCCTGGGGCCAGACACACGTAGTCCTGAAGACTAGACCCACAGTGACGAAAGGAGCAGGGCCGCCCCAGAGGGTCCACACTTTCACAGCCCTTACAGCAGCATGGGGTGTGGACTCTGGAAGACACATTTTTTTTTTCTGGTATGGGGAATTGAACTCAGGACCTTGAGCTTGCAAGGCAAGTGCGGTGTCACTAAGCTAAATTCCCACCCTGGAGGACACATTTTCAAAGGCAGGATGAAAGAAGCCAGCAAGGACTGGTGAGATTAGAGGTATGTGTTTATTCTGCCAGTAGGTGGCCACAGAAGCAGTGTCATTCGTATGGATGGTTCCTAGCATACTTGGATGGACACATGACTCTCTAACTTTGAGGAGGCCATATATTTGCATGTCATCTGAGTCCTTTGGGTAGACTGACAAGTCTGCTTGTCCTATATATTCCCTAACAAGGCCCAGCTGTTCATGGTAGAGCAAAGTATCTACATAGCCCTGCCTCCAGTCCCGCAAGTGGTCACCCTGGGATCTGGGCCCTCTTTTGTTCTGTAGTCCTTTCCAGGGAGCTGGGAAGGGCTAACACACACAATACACACACACACACACACACACACACATCCCATCTCAACAGAATGGCTGACCTCTCCGAGCTCCTGAAGGAAGGGACCAAGGAAGCACATGACCGGGCAGAAAACACCCAGTTTGTCAAGGACTTCTTGAAAGGCAACATTAAGAAGGAGCTATTTAAGGTTTGTGTCAGTCAAAGAAAGTTGGATTCCAGACTTTGAAATGGGTCGGGGTGGGAGCCTTAGTCCCTGAGGAAGGTGCCCCTGGAGCTGTTCTGAGGGAGAAGCTGGACTTTTCTTCATGTTCACTCATTTTTGGCATTAAGCTCTGGCTCTTCTGGCTTAAACGAAATAACATAATGATGTAAAGGAAGCAAAAATATGTGTTCCAAAGAATATACTATGTCATTCCTTCCAGAAACAAAAGCTTCCTGGGCATTTTAAGTAATTTACTATATAAAAATGGATCACAGGTTGGGTCTTTGGGGAGTGGAAGAGGGGGTGCTACTTGAGGTTTGGTCTCCAGCTACTCTGATGTGGTTGATTTTAAAGTTGTCCTTTCCCACCGTCACCTTGTCACTCCCATAGCTGGCCACAGCTGCACTTTACTTCACATATTCAGCCCTCGAGGAGGAAATGGACCGCAACAAGGACCACCCAGTCTTCACCCCCTTGTATTTCCCCATGGAACTGCACCGGAAGGAAGCACTGACAAAGGACATGGAGTATTTCTTTGGTGAAAACTGGGAGGAGCAGGTGATGTGCTCTGAGGCTACCCAGAAGTATGTGGAGCGGATCCACTATGTGGGGCAAAATGAGCCAGAGTTGCTTGTGGCCCATACATATACCCGCTATATGGGGGACCTTTCAGGAGGACAGGTGCTGAAGAAAGTGGCCCAGCGGGCCCTGAAGCTCCCCAGCACAGGGGAAGGGACCCAGTTCTACCATTTTGAGAAGGTGGACAATGCCCAGCAGTTCAAGCAGTTCTACCGGGCCAGGATGAATGCCCTGGATCTGAGCCTGAAGACCAAAGAGAGAATTGTGGAGGAAGCTAACAAGGCCTTTGAGTACAACATGCAGGTAATGCTGGGTACTGACCACAGGGCCAGCTTTGTTGGGCTGCAGGGAACCTTTTACAGGGGGAACAAATCCAGAACTTCCTGGGAGGGCATCAGTGGCATGGGGAGAGATGAACTGCAGCATGTCCTACATAAAGGTGAGGGAACCAAATTGGGACAGAAGTTTGTGGGCACTGTGGATAGCTTCCAGCTGGAGACTTGGCTTGGTAGAGGCCCATGGATAGAATTTTGGTAAGGGAGAGGCCCCAGGAGAGCGGAGAAAGGAGCTGTCTCCCTCCCTCTCATCCCATGATGCTGATATTGAGGAATGGATGGTTTTCTCGTTTTTATCAAGGATTGCTGTGAAAAGTCTTGCTTGGTAGGTTCAGCTAGAGCCAGATTCATCAAGGAGAGTAAGCAGAATAGTTATTTACAATTAGCCTTTAATTGGAGGTGAGTTTGAGGAGGCTGATTCAGCCTCCTAAGCATCATATGAGCCCTCAGGGCCAGGGAAAGGAGTTGTGGGCAAGTAAGATGTGAGGCTGACCAGTTCCCAGCAACCCTTCAGTGTAGCTTCTCAGGGCCACCTAGGATGGGTTTGCCTTGCTATGGCATCTTCTCCCATATTCTCATTTCTCTCCACATTGTCTCTTGTTCCTTGCTAAGAAATAGCCAGCAGTTAGAAATGAAGTACCACCAGTGGCTCCTCCACACATCTCTAACTTGATCGTCTCAGTTGTTTGAGCTCCCTCAGAGGCAGCTGGCATGGAGTATGTGCCTGGTGAGTGCCCAGTGAAGACCCACCACAATAGTTGTCAACCTTTGGGTGCTAGCACCACAGATAGGGCCATATCTCCTCAGTTCCTGCTAGGGAGAAGTGCAGTAGTGTGCTGTTACCCATGGGGCTGCTTGCTTGGCTAGTCAGCAACCCTGTACAAGTCCACCTGCTCCAGCTCCCTGTGTGAGCAGGGGTAGGGTGGGTATCTACTCTGAAAGCAGTCTGTGCAGACCAGGGATGGCTGTTGATCTCTCCTTCTCAGATATTCGATGAACTGGACCAGGCTGGCTCCGCACTGGCCAGAGACACCCTGGAGGATGGGTTCCCTGTGCATGATGGGAAGGGAGACATGCGTAAATGCCCCTTCTATACTGGTCAACAAGACACAGGTAGGTTGCAGGTTCTAAGGTTCCCTCCTGGGATGGGCATGTCATCAGCCCCTACTGATACCATGTCTCCTGTTGTACTGCACCCAGGTGCCCTGGAGGGCAACAGCTGCCCCTTCCAAAAAGCCATGACTGTGTTGAGGAAGCCCAACAACCTCCAGTTAATTCTGGCCACCAGTGTGGCCTTAGCTGCTGGACTCTTGGCCTGGTACTACATCTGAAGGATCTGTTATGCCATGTGGCACTCTCTTCCCAAGTAACCACAGCGACCCCTATCTCCACTTCTTGACTACCACCTCAGGTGACTTTTTAAAATTCTGGGTTTGAGAAAACAACCAATAAAAGCCAGATGCTAGAGCCTCTGCCTGATGGCATCTTCTCCATAGGCTAAATACACAGCACAGCAGGGCAGGGCAGGGCTGGCCTGGGCCTCTGAATCAGCTCTGCTCCAAGCTGTTGAACCTCTTGGGCCCCAGACACATTCTCAACTTTCTTTTCTTCACAGTATCTGGGGAGCTATCCTTGCCCTATTGAGAGTGAGCATCCAGCATGAGAAGGTTCAGGGGTTGGGGTATCTTGCCAAATGGTGCCACTCAATTTCTAGAGCTCTTAGGAGCTTGGGGGTGGTCCATGGGGGTGGGCAGAAGCCAGGCTCCTCTCCCTCTGAGGTCCTAGAAATTCATCCCTCTCAACTGGGACCCTTAAGAGGTCTACTAACCTGGGCTGTCCCCTCCTGACCTGTATAAATGCTACAACACTCAATAAAATGGACTCTGCACGTCTCCTTCTTCTTTTTTGCAACAGGGTCTCACTATGTAGGTGAGGCTGGCCTCAAACTTTCAGCAGTCTTCCTGCCTCAGCCTTCCCAAATGCTGGGATTACAGGCTTGCGCCATCATGCCCTGGCTCCTTCTTTCCTTGGATAGGGTGGCTGAAGCCTTGTAGTGTACCCCAATATCCCATAGGGAAGGAGAGTTCCCCCAAAACAGTGACATGTATCCACGTGGGGAAGTGGCATCTTCTCACCTGACAGCTTCATGAAGCCCCTTTTTGTCCTCATGTGCTGCTCCATCTCCTAGCACCTCCTCATCAAAACGCTCTGAATACCTTTATCATGAAGATAATGATTATCCGGACCTGTAAGTTTTCTAGCTCTTATACTTTGGAGGTTCCCTACTTAGAAAGCATGTGTCTATCTGTGTTTAAGCAATTCATCTAAAGTAAAAAAGTGAAGTTAAATATTTTTATTGATAGGAATCTATTACTGTAAAAGTTTTATTCAAAAAAGGATTAAATTGCGAGGAAACACTTCTTAAACTACAGATTGAGCCCACCACCTTCACAGTTCATGTCAATTAGGCCACTGCCAGGGCCGGTCTAGAATTTGCACACTCAGACTACATCTTTTAACCCTTAAGCGTCAGTCCAATGGCTCTGTCTTAAGGGTAGGGTGTGTCAAGCCCAAGTTGGGGGGTGGGGGTCATGCTCCAGCTTGGAGGTGCTGTGGGTGGATACCAAGGTGTGTAGATGGATGGAACCAGTATCTGAGGAAGTAAGGTGACCTTATAGCCACTGCTGAAGCCAGCTCCTGCCTTCCGCTAGTCACAGCTGGATTCCCAGGGATGGTACACATCAGACTTTGGTTTGGCACAATTAAGTTCTTATGTATCAATGTTGTTGCCAGACAGTTGGGTTCAGCCCCCTACCTTCTAGTATTTACATATAACCCACCCTCTTTCCCTTAGAAAAGAAGGAAACCAGGCAAGACAGCAGAGGCCCAGGACAGGGGAATGAAGGGGCCAATTTAATGAGAAACTACAGACTGAGACCAGGCCACAATTCACAGTGATGGGAGGCCATGCAGTGGCAGTGCGAGACCAGGAGAGGGTCAGCAATAGGACACGGTGTCCACGTGGGCAAGTTCACAAACTATTCAGAAAATAAAGACAGCTTTGGGTTGCACCCAGGGCAGGGCTGGTGTCTACTAGCATACTCGGCACTTGTGCCTGCCCTTTTCTTGCCCCGGCCCAGATCCACAGCTGTTCCTGCTGGAGTGACCCAGTCCAGGGGTTTGCACAGTGACAGCAAGTCAGCTGGGGCTAAGGGCCAGCACTTACTGAGAAGAGAACTAATGGAGAGGGCACTGCAGATCCTACTACACCTACAAGGAGTTCTCTCATATATGCCATCTGTCCTAGCTGGGACACAACAGCTAGTGGGAAGAGGCTGCACCCACACAGTCAGAACATAGTACACAGGACAGGATAGGTTTGTGAGCATTCCTTCTGGCCCCAGAAAAATACAGGGGTTTGTAGAGATGTGTCCAGAGAGGGGGTTCTGCACACTGACTCAGAGGGAGATGCATGAAGGTGAGTCCCTCTTGGCTACCTTACACATGGACAGGGAATTAGGAGTTCCTAGGTTTCCATACCTGAGAGTTCTGAGGGCCATAGTTGGCAGCCACTACTTCTGTCATGCCCTGTCTCTGGCACTGCAGAGGCACAGCATATACTTTAACAAACCCAGGGGTTAACTCTGTCCTGCTTGCATCCAGGCTAACTTCAAACAATGCCATACTCTTGGCCCAGCAGATCAGAAACAACTGCGGCTCCAGGTACAGCCCCCACTACCGGTCCCCAGACTGGGACCCACTACTACTCTGGCTGCTTTTGGTCCCAGGGAGAGTCAGGACCAAGTGTGGACCTTGTAGGGAAAGGAGGAATGGGGACCCCAATAGGAGACCCAGCTTATCTTCTGGATCACAGATGTCAAGCAAACCAGGAACACACAAGCTCAGTGCCACCCCCACCCTCCACCACCCACTGGTCCTTGGCCTTGAATCCAACAGAACTTTTGCTGGAAGAGTCAGATGCTCAGGTTAGGGCAAGGCAAAGAGGACAGGGCTTTCAGGGGACAGTGGCACAGCTTCCTCCCCCAAGTGAGGGGGGAACTGACCACTGAATGCGGGGAGCAAAGCGTGGGGCCAGACTGACAGGCAGGTGAGTCCAAGTCTGGCTCCGTCAGCACAGACGCTTGTACGTATAGATGTAGGCTTTGCAGCTGGGGCATGTATGTGTCACATCCTTGAAGTCGTTGATGAGGCAGGGGATCAAGCAGCAGCCCAGATCACACCTGAAGCAGAGACAGAGACAGGCTGAGACCTGAAGAGAAGCAGCAGAGATGGCCCTGCCTTACTTGCATCCCATACCTACCCCATGAAGCAGCAGAAGAAACCCAGCACAAAGTTCATCAGTCCAATCTCGTAGGAGATCTTGGTAGTGATGGCCTGCTGGCAGTGGGGACACACAGTCTGCACGGGTGCGCCTTCAAAGATCTCACCCTGCAGCACTGTTACCGTGGTGGCAGCCCCTGAAGGGACCAAGACTGTGGCTGTGTGGCCCCCAGGGCCAGGGTAGGGCCCTGGTGGGTAGGGTCCTGGTGGGTAGTAGCCCATGGGTGGGTGAGGTCCTGGAGGAGGGTAAAAACCTGCAACAGCACAGATGAGTAGAGGTCTTACTACACAGGTTGCCCTGACAGAAGATGAGCACAAAGCCTGGAGCTCCAGCACCCAGAACACAACCTGAAACTTTCTGCCATCCTTCTAATGGGGGCCACCAAGTGCTAGTGGGAGTCCCTGGGACTAAGGCCCTGGCTCAAGATGGTTGTCCACATTTTCCCAGTCTTTCATGCTCCCTACCCTGTGAGACCAAGACAGATTTGGCAGGGATTTGCTGGGCGCTTAAGTGCCTGCAAGGATGACAGAAGGGAGAGCCTTGCCCTTCTCCAGCCCTTCTCTTGCACAGGGTGACTCAATGCCAGGAACCTATGCAAGAGCCACAGGCCCTTGGACTGCAGTGGTAGCTCCAGAGAGCTGCTGGTGAGCAAAACGCCAGGGCCACACCAAAGGCTTTACATCCTTGGCCGGGAAGAAGTTCTGTAGCACTCATAGACCTTAGCATGAGCTGCTGTGACTGAGGGGCCTTCCTTGAGCTGGTGTCCTCCATCATGACAAGCCCAGTGAGATACCTTGTTCTGTGTCACCCCTTACTGTGTCCACAGCTGTCTACAGTGAAGGCTGGATAGCAGCTTACCCCCATGCTCCCCTCATGTCTCTTGCCAACTTACCTGGAGGCATGTAGGCGCCTTCTGCACCCATGTGGGCGGGAACAAAGCCAGGCTGGGGCATTGGATGACCTGGTGGCTCATAGGGTGGGGGGCCAATATCTGCAGGGGGCAGTGGCATGCCTGGTGGGGGCTGCATCACAGCTGGGGAAGTGTGGCCTGGACAGAGAGAGAAGGCTCAGCTGGTCTCAGCACACAGGCTGGGCCAGAGGTCACTGTTTTAAGTTACAAGGTGATCCTGGAGCAGAACTGGTTAACATAGAGGCCCAACTGCACCTGGGGAGGAGAAATGAGGAAGGGCCATGATAGGGACCCCAGGATCATGACCCCTACCTGGGGTGGGTGGAGCTCCACTTTTCTCCTCCAGCAGTGGGGCTGTGGGGCCCCCAGGATAAGGAGGGGGTGGCTCGTTAGACATCTTCACTGCTTCCCTTGACCCTGGAAGGAAAACCCAGACATGAACTCAGCTCCCAGCCAACCTGCCTCCCACTCACTTGGGCTGTGGCAAGGGCTGTTGCACAAGGTGTGTGACCATCCTCAGAGGTGGCCAGCCAAGCCTAAGTACTTGGCTTCCTATGCTTCTTCCACAGGGCTCTCCCTGCTCTTTGACTCAGGCACCTGAGCTGCCACCTTTACTTTCTCTCCACATAAATCTTCAAACTCTGCAAGGAGCAGGGCTGGTGGGCTGGAACTGAAGCCTTCAGAAGTTCCATCACTGGGCTCCCTCTTGGCACTAGGGCTGTCCCACTTTCACCAGGGCACCACCAGCCCACAGCTGCCACCATCTTCACCTCTCCCCAGTCACCCACATTTCTTTGAGGGGAGGGCCCAGTGAGGTAAGACCCTGATCCAGCAGTCCTGGGACCCAACCCTGTTTGGCATCTAGTTTCCCTACCCCCTGCCCCAACATTTAGGAGGCACTAAGGCAGTCATGGAGGGGCTGACCACTACCAGAGGGTGCTGTGATCCAGGGGAGATTTCTTACCCCAAATCTGATACTTGCAGGGAGGCAGAGGAAGGTTCTTCAGCTGCTGGCCACACAGGGCTCTGGGGAGCTGTTCAGGGGAAGAGGCAGCACCCTCAGCCCAGGAAGGCTGCCAGGCAGGCCCTGGGCACAGCCCCTGTCACTGTGCCATCCACAGGCCTACTCTACTTCCTGCCTGCCTCACAGGTCCACTCTACCTCCCTGCCTGCCTCACAGGTCCACTTTCTCTCCCTCTCCTCCCCACCAGGCCAGGCAGATCCACTTCCCACTCATGAAGGAATACAAAATGAGCCATCCATGGGATGGGTTAGTCCACTATCTTGGGCTAGACCCCTTTTGGTTAGTTTGGGAACTGGGAAGGAAGAGAATCAGTCAAATGAGACACATTGCTTTATTTCTTTTGCCAAATACCTTGAGCACCTAGGCCCTGGGGGGAAAGCAGGGAAGCTGGAAGTCTCCTTGCCTTCACTCTTACTTAGCATCAAAAAGAATCTACTATTAAAAAAATAATAATAATAATCTACTATTAATAGCATTTTGGTTTTGGGGTTTTTTTTCCCTTTTCACAACTTTATTTCAACATAACTATGCTTACAGAAATACACTCATATTGGTTAAGAGAATGTAATTCAACTTATCCTACATAATTTCAACCAAAAAGTTGGTACATGGTTTAAGATTTTAAAAAGGATTTGTAATCTGATTTATTTTTATCTATTACAAGTGTATAAAAGATCCATCAGATGCTGCTAAAGAAGGTGGCAAAAACCTTGAGAAATACACCTTTGGTTTGCCTCAGAAAAGTAACAAATAATTGCACTGTAAAGTTTATAAAACTGGCGCAACAAAACGTTGTAATGTTACAATGCCAGTTTACAAAGTTCAGTAACTAATGGATGTAGGAGGGCATGGGGGAGCTTATGTACACACATGGAACTGTAAAAGCTATCCGTTTTACTAATAATGCATGTAGACTGTAAATCAACACAAACCAAAATTCAGATAATTTCTTAAATCTGAAGCATTTTGAAGCCAAAGTAATATGAACTAGAAAAAACTTAACAGTATAGCAGCATATACAATAAAAACGGCTCTCCTGGCACAGCCCCACTCATAGCCCTTATAGTCCAATCACAGGTAGTTCTACAAGGGAACTTGGGGTTCATAGATTAAAAATTAAATTAAATTTAAAAGAATCAAGCTAAGGAACAG